GTCTCTGGTTCTTCTTAATTCAGCAAAGTTGAATGTTGCTGCTAGCTGAGCTTCTTGTTCATCAAAGCAAAAAGCTTTCTCGTTTTCTTTTCCAAGCCTCTCAGCAACTCCTAAAACGTAAAATACATGTTGGGGCGTCAAATTGTTAATGTGTTGTTTTTTGCTGAAAAGACTTGAATGGGCAAGATGCCTTTTTTATGTTTCTGCAACTAGAAGAAATGTTTTGGTACAGAAATGACCTCGGAGGGACTTGGAAATTACAGATATTGGAATGTTGAGGTCAGCTTGCAAATTATAAATGGTTTGACTGACACAGAGGTTGTGTGTGGACAGCATATGAACACACCATTTTTATTTTATTAGCAAATTGGTTTCATTTGATGAAGGTGGGGAGGTGGGGTCTCACTAGCCCAGCAGCTTCATCTCCACTACATTCCTATATGCCTTTCCTTTTTAAATGAACACACACAAAAACAAAAATCCAGATGCTTTTGGCATAGGCATGTTTTCTCTCTTTTGTGTAATAAGTTTTAGCCTCAAAATTGCAGCAGAGTCGGGATCACAAACTTGGTTAACGAGTTTGGTCACTGCTAATATGCAGTGGCGGATTCAAGATTTAAAAGCTGCAAAATTTATATACTAAACTAGATAATATAAGTGAATTTTATTAAGAAATATAAAAATATACACCTAGTGAGAGAGACGTAATAAAAGATGACTCATGAACAATATGTAGAAATGCTTTCAATCAAACATACCAACCGCAAAATTAGACAAAAGATCAATCCACAATATATGTTGCCTTCAATATAGTAGCATAAAGATGCAAATAACAACCACATATATTATCAACAAATAACAAAAACGACACAAGTACTGGCTTTAAGATATTTTGGAAGGAAGTATGTGGTTAGCTTTCTGTGCCACAAAGAGACTAAAAGTCTAAAGTAATTTTTTCAAATGTAGAAACATAAGAGTAGATAGCAAAAACTTGAAGTAGAAAGCAAACAGAGAGTAAAAAATGAAGCATAAAAAGTAGGAGACAAAGAAAATATGATTGGATCTCACTCTGATAAGGATAGCTTGGGCTTATTCTTGTGACTTGTGTGAGTGTGAAAACCTCATAAATTATAGTCCTCTGCAAGATTTCATCCAAGTATGAAAACAGATAGCAAAAACTTGAAGTAGAAAGCAAACAGAGAGTAAAAAATGAAGCATAAAAAGTAGGAGACAAAGAAAATATGATTGAATCTCACTCTGATAAGGATAGCTTGGGCTTATTTTAATAAAAAATCCTAAAAAATTGATGGTGACAAAAACCTAAATTCATAGCGAGAAGCACAAAAACCTTATAAATTATAGTCCTTTGAGCAAGCTAGCCTCCGCCAATGATGGGCAAAAAGTCAAAACGCGTGAGAAGAAGAGAATGTGGCTGGCTCTGGATGGGCAGCCCAGCAGCATGCCCCTGCTACTATGCATCATCCAAAGCAAAGGCATGCAGCCTCAATCAAAAGACATTGTAGGGCCGCAACGAGATTGTAGCTCCGAGGTCATGTTTGAATCGACCTTTCCCTCAATATTGTTTGTGTTTATATTATCATATCTAACCAAGCAGATTTAGTAGCCTAACCTACACCTACTGAGGAGTCACCAAGACGCTAGGGCCACGTCAGTAAGCCTTGATGACCGACCCCATGCAAGCGGTCTGTCAAATACCAGTAGGGTACACATCTACTGATTGACACATCTTGCGCCACTATCTTCAAGGCACTCGCTCTCGAAATAAATACACTTGACTCACACATGCCGTGCTACCCAAGGGCATTCCTGTTCAAAATAAGGACATATGTTAGCACCCTCCTCGTAGGACAAAAGTCCCACATTGACTAAATCATCGAAGTGCCTTGAATATAACTTAAGTATCGAAGTGCCTTTGATCAGTACTACATTTGTGCTAAGATCTCATGGATCGTTTTCTCCATATTGCATATTGATTTCAACCTAGCCGAAAGATTCCAATAATCAAAGATCAAGTGACTTGCAATTGAATCAACTTTGGCATCGAGTATTAAAACTTTGCTTACTACAATGTAGTGTACTTAATTTGAACGGAAAAATGCCACATTAACCTAACAAAATTTGCAAAGTGATGTTACATCTCTCACCCCGTTGCTTGGAGAAAGACTTTTATGAAACGCGAATAACACTAAGTTTTTCTTCATTCATTGCTTGGTGGCAATGCTTCCCCAAATGTTCGTGCATGTGTTGGCAGCCTCTGGATCTCTCTTGTAAATTGATGTCAACTCCCATAATTCGTTTTGACCAATTCAAATGTTGCCAAACCATTCCAGGGGTCATTTTCGGAAGAAAAACAAAACCGAAAACGAAGTTCAATGAAAAACTCATAGAATTTTAATCGAAGAATGATTAGTTTTTGCAAAAATGGCTGCCGTGACGAGTAAGGAGGTCAAAGTGTTTGACGATAATGCCCACGATGGCCGAAGTTGTTGACCATCGAGTCCCACTCTCCATCACGGGAAGGAAGAAAACTGGGGCATTTTCCACTCTACCAATTATAGGGTAAAATTGAGAGGCATCTATCAGTGGACGGCTCTAGATTTGTTTTTAATGAATAGTGAGACTAAGTGAGTTTAGTCATTTGCCATGATAAAATATATTTCTTGCTCCCACCACAAATCAAACATCGTGCATCTTTCATATTTGGTTCTAATCATCGCTAGATATAATAACTTTCGACCACAAAATTTGAGAAATTATCCACCACATAATATATATACGACCCAAATTATGTGAGGGAAGATGAAAATAAATACTATATGTTGGAAAAATATTTAAAGTGTAATCCGTTGTATGTATATTTTTCTCTCATAATAATATAGTCACGTGCAGAGGTGGAGTCACATATGGACTTGAAGTGATTGTGGGCCACAAAATTTCAGAAAATCCTTGAAATTTTATATCAAACTTTGAAAATTTGTGGATAAGTTTATAAACTTTCCAGCTCCGTCATTGGTCATGCAACTATAAACAAACATTAAGTCATGTGACTATAAGAAGAGAATACATATATGCCATTACACCTAAGATTTTTACTTTTAATCCGTCGGTTTTACCTTTTGTTTAGGGTAACAAGCTCCTAGTTGTTTTTAGAAACCGAAGTTGTTGCATTGCATGATGCAAAGTGCATATATTTTTTTGGTTTTTTTTATATATATTGACATATTGCTGGTCATAGTAGTAGTGTTGCTCTTCAACCCTATTAATATATAGTAAATTGAGCTTAGGCTCATCGAAATTGAACATTGTAGAAGCTCAAGCGCCAACTGTTCGACATTGAGTAATATAATGAACCTTGACATGGTCATTGCGGCGTGATTGGAGGGTCTCACACTTTATAAAATTTGTTGGAGACGAAATTGAGTTGATCTAAGCCATCTACTTTGTAACACATGGTTTTGTCTCTATCCACTTCAAATTATTATTCAACCAAAAGAAATTGCTTTTCGTTTGTTCGACAATAGCACCGAAAAAGCCAAATTAGGAGGAAGCTGTTTTTCCAATAACAACGAGCAAGCAAATGGCAAATGGCTTTGACCGGCACAAATATTATGTGTGGATGGATAGAGCATCATTAGTCATTGCCATGGAGGATGATGATACTCCCCTTAAAAGTGGTGTGTGAGCTTATTGTTTCAAGGGTCGAAGTAACGATGATAATACTTTCCTTAGCTCGAAAAAGAAGACGCATTAAAAGTTCATATTGGAGAAGCCGATATAGACGAAAAATGAAAAGGGTTCTTGACCTGTATCTCATATGTACCAACTTCCTAATCCAACATACCATGCAACATACAGATATCTAGGTATTGGGTGCAAAATAGTAAATCTCATGAAACTTTGACTAAAAAAAAGTGGATGATCAGAGGCCCCAAACTGCCGTTGGAGCTGGTTCAACGACTTCTTCAAGATGTTTAGCTTAGCTACTTTGTTTTGGTCACATCATCACTAACGTTTAGCTCATCTTGCTTAAAAGTGAGTTGAGCATTGCCTCTCGGGGGATGTTGTTTTCAATCAAGCATCATCAAACGACAGATAATCTGCATCTTTTGACCGTTGGAGTGAAGTCGGTGCAAAACAACTGTATCCCACATAATTACAAGCTAATTTACCAAGTTGTTTCACTAATATAATATTATTATAGTGTAAAATAGACAGGCTTATGCAATATGCGTGACCAGGTTTGGTATAAGATTCTCCAATACTCCCAACCACATAATTTTGTTGGGTTTCATTTTAGAAAATGGCACTAGTGGAAGATTAAACTATTTAAAAATATTATCCCAATCAACTACTAAACCAACCAATCTATGATCCTAATTTGATTTTACCAGTTTTAATCATCTTGCATTTTAATCATATAGCGTGTTGTGCACTACAAACCATGGCATGATTACTATTTTTTGGGGCCTTTTATTTTTGTTGTGTTATTTTAAAATGGACAAAAAGTCCAAACAAAAGCAACTTCTATTTCTTTCCCTCTTAACTTAATGCAATTTTGTTTTAATCAATGGGATAAGAGGGTATTAAACTCGGACTTTCTTTCAATTTTGGAAAAAGATGTATCGTGAGATCTTAGTTAATTGATTATCTTAATGTAATTTGCGTTCGAGTTTATGGATAAAAGTTACTTATCAAGGTTTAACTAGTTACAAATTTTATGTTTATGTATCTGCTAACGGGAGATTAGAGTCAGAGATCTTTTCCAAAATTGGAGAGAAATACCATTAAACCGATGTTGGAAAAAAAAATTAAATTGAGTTTGAATAAGATAGAAGAAGTCTCTCTCAAAAAAAAAAAAAAAAAAAAAAAAANNNNAAAAAAAAAAAAAAAAAAAAAACAGATAGAGGAAGTCAGCTATGGGCCAGGGAAACCCTTTAGCCCATAAGACCAGGAGCCCAAGACCCAATACTTCATTGAAATTGGGCACAACAAATCTTCCATGACCCAAAATTTCAGAATCAGCATCGTCTTCTTCGAGTAGGTTAAGCCTTAAACCATAAACCCTAGGCGCTCCTGAAACTCTCCCAAGACAAAAAAAAGGGGGTTGGAAAATGTCGGACAGAGAAGATTACGATTCGGAAGCCCCCGAAGAGCTCACAGCCGAGCAGGTAATCTAAGTCTATGAAGAGAATTGAAAGTTTATATTTTTATTTCAGAAAGCAAAGGTTTAGAACTTGGTTATTGTTTTGGTAATGGTTACAGGGAATACAACAAGACAAAGAACTAAGTAAGGTCCAGAAAGAGAATAAAGCGAGGTGGGTCACTTGTTTACCTTGCTCTCTTTTGCTAAACACTGTTTTGATTTTAATTAAGGTCTTGTTTGGTTGCTTTTAAAAATTGTAGGAAATTGAATTCATTGAATTGAGCTGACCTGAGTTCTTATGCAAATTCTAAGTTGAGCTGCGTTGCTCAATTTTTAGAGAATTAAAAAAACCCAAATTACAGGAAGCCAAGAACTCTGTTTGTTGTGCTTTATGGTGTTTGTCACCAGTCACAAAACTTATATAAAAGGGGTAGGAGGAAGGCCTATTTTTATTTTCTCCAATTTTTCGATGTGCTTTAATTTATTATGATTTTGTTTTTTCTTCTTCTTATGCTTCTTGATACTTTGATAGGCTTGAAATCCATTTACTAGCATGGAATAGATATAAGGAATTAGTTGGATCACATTGAAGTTATATCCGACAGTTTTTTATGGACAATGTTTTGTGTGTTTCTGTGCCTACAAGAAGTTGGATGCTTTGCATTATCTGGTGACTCTTAGGAAACCGTCAAAAAGTCGATTCAAGAAGTGTTACTGGATTGTGGATTCTCTTTCTTTTATCATTTTTGGGGGTGAATCACCAATTTGTGAAACATAAAAATAAAATATGAAATTAGTTTGTGTAGCTTTGGTATCCACCTTTTGCATTTATTTTGCTTGAGACATAAATTTTAACGGAAATCAATATTACTCTACATAGGGTGGTTCGTGAAGGAAAAGAACGTCGTAGACAATGGGCCCAAAGGAAAACACCAAAGAAAACACCACAGCCGTCTGCTGGAGTTGAAAGTGTTCAAGATGCCCCTGAAACTGAAACACACGAAGAATCTTTGGGTAGTGCAGGGATGCTTCCAAGCAACATTGTTGAATTGCTTGCAGCTCGTGAGAAGTATGACCCCTCTCTCTCTCTCTCTCTCTCTCTCTCTCTGGATGATGATCTTTAGTTCTTATGAGATTGTAACCAAATGGCCACGTTCAATGTGCAGACAAGTGTTCCACTCAGACTCTGAGGATGAGAATACTGACTCAAAGTCCACTAAGAAAAAGAAAAGGCTAAAAAGCTCAGGGTAAGGGACCTCTTCTATAAGAACAGAGAAATATACTTTTGATCTCACTCCATTTTGAATGAATATGTAATTTCGTTTTTTTCCTTTTATTTTGCTTTGCAGGGTTGATACTGTTATTTTGAAGGAGACACCTGCTCCAAAATGCTTACAGAATTCCTTGGCGTTCTTGGAGAAAAGGAAAATGCAGGTGTCTAGATCACATGCAGTGTTGAACAACTCCAACCAAGCCTTACGCTTCCTCTCTTCTTCTGGCTTGTTGAGTAAAAACGTGACGAGCTAAATGCCAGCATTTTCTTATATTTTTTTCTCTCGATATGTGCTATGATATTGTATTCTCTTAGTCGAGGCTATGCTGATATGTATCGTACTTAGCTCCCTGAGGAGGGCATGCCTATGAATGATGAAAATGGAGAGGGATCATGTCCCCATGGGCCAACTGGTTATTTTATAGAATCTGCATCTGTGACATTATTTTTCTTTCCTTTTTGTTTTATTGATAAAAGAAAGAGTTTTTTCCACCCTGATATTTTGAAACATGTTTGGTGCCAGCACTAGTCTGCTGCTAAGTTCTGTGTAGGGTGGGAGGCTAAGAACTGGGCAAAGCTTGGTTAGAGCTTTGATGATGAGAAAGAAACATTTGAAAGATGCATGCAATGCATATGTTATGAGCATTATTTTTAAGAGTTTGTCCTTCTCCTAGTCCTAGGCCCTGGTCATACTTAAGTCCTTATGTTTCTTTTTAGAATCTATGATTACGGTTGGGAAATCCATTGGAGCCATTATTCTATTTCACCTACTCATCATTTCATTAGTGGTTCCAAAGTGAAAATTCAGCTGCTTTTGGCAGCTAAAACATGGACTTGTTCATAAATTAAAGAGAATTGTACTATATTACACTTTAATTAGTGTCTATCGACATAAATTCTGATTCAGATCACCAAAAGGCAACATTGAATGTATCTCTCTCCTATTCGATCGTTTCCCCCACTTTTCCACCATCAGAAAGTTTGTTGTAAGCTCTAAATTTATGCACAAAGCAATTAAATTGCCCTTCAGTGATCTGTTTCTTGCTCAAGATCATATCAAAATTCGTGTTTGTTCATTTGCTCACTGCAAGGGGATTGCAGATTCCACTGATATAAGCTCACAGGTAAAAATGTTTATGAATTATGATCAACATGCACGTTTCAATTTTGATGAGCAAGAAAGCTTATAATCTTCAGATGGGTTGAAGGCATGACATAAGTAGATACATAATGAGTTGAAGGCGTACTGGTATTTCACAAGCAGTTAATTGTGGCTTTGGCCAAAGCCTACTTAACACATAATAGCTTTCCATCTACTTGTACTACATAAAAAGTAAAACTACAAGATCAATAAACTAAAGACTTAAGGGGAAGAGAAAATATCCTCCTGGTGCAGCCATGTCTGGTCGACTGAGGTCATAGAAGTAGCTTCCTGTGATTTTTTATAAAAAAAATTAATAGTATAGCCGCGCGGCTATACTCGTAAAAAACAAAAATAAAGACCGCCTAGGCGGTTTTTTAATATATATAAATAAATAGTATAGCCGCTTGGCTATACTGTGTTTTTTAATAAATTAAAAAAAAAATAATAACAAAGGCCGACTAGGCGCTAGATGGGTCCTTTTTTTTTTTTTAAAAAAGGTATCGCCGTGCGGCTACACTTTGCAAATATAATAAGCGTATAGCCGCATGGCTATACTGTGGTTTTTTTATAAAAAAAATTAATAGTATAGCCGTGCGGCTATAGTCGTTAAACGCTAGGCAGGTTTTTTTTTTCATTTTTAATAAATAGTATAGCCGGGCGGCGATACTGGGTCCCTTAATTTTTTTTTTTAAATAAAGAGTATAGCCGGGCGGCGATACTCTTTAAATATATAGTGGGGTCCCTTTTAAAAAAATAATTTTTTCCCCAATTTTCGTTTCTTGATAAGAGTAGTTTATAATATTATCCATTACTATTAGGCCAGTCTCTATTGTTCCCAAATTACAGGAAGCCAAGAACTCTGTTTGTTGTGCTTTCGGGTGTTTGTCACCAGTCACAGAACTTATATAAAAGGGGTAGGAGGAAGGGCTATTTTTATTTTCTCGAATTCTTCGATATCCTTTAATTTATTAAGATATCAAACTATTGTTTTTTCTTCTTCTTATGCTTCTTGATACTTTGATAGGCTTGAAATGCATGGAATAGATATAAGGAATTAGTTGGATCACATTGAAGTCGTGAAGGAAAAGAACGCCGTAGACAATGGGCCCAAAGGAAAACACCACAGCCGTCTGCTGGAGTTGAAAGTGTTCAAGATGCCCCTGAAACTGAAACACACCAAGAATCTGTGGGTAATGCAGGGAGTCACGTGTTATTACTATGACTTACTATATTTTTTTTTCAATTATTATAAAACCTAAAATAGTTAGAAAATAGAAAAATGAAAAGAAATATAAAAAAAACCTGACTTTCTCTCTCTCTCTCTCTCTCTCTCTCTCTCTCTCTCTCTCATCTGACTGTGGATGATGATCTTTAGTTCTTATCTGATTGTAACCAAATCGCCACTTTCCATGTGCAGACAAGTGTTCCACTCTGACTCCGAGAATGAGAAGACTGACTCGAAGTCCACTAAGAAAAAGAAAAAGCTAAAAAGCTCTGGGTGAGGAACCTCTTCTATAACGACAGAGAAAAATACTTTTGATCTCACTCCATTTTGAATGAATATGTAATTTCGTCTTTTTCCCTTTTATTTTGATTTGCAGGGTTGAGACTGTTATTTTGAAGGAGACACCTGCTCCAATATGCTTACAGAATTCCTTGGCGTTCTTAGAGAAAAGGAAAATGCAGGTGTCTAGATTCACATGTAGTGTTGAACAACTCCAACCAAGCCTTACGCTTCCTCTCTTCTTCTGGCTTGTTGAGTAAAAAAGTGACGAGCTAAATGCCAGCATTTTCTTTTATTTTTTCTCCTAATGCGTGCACTTAGCTCCCGGAGGAGGGCATGCCTATGAACGATGAACAAATGGAGAGGCATCATGTCCCATCATCTGTGACATTATTTTTCTTTGCCTTCTGTTTTATTAATAAAAGAAAGAGTTCCTCCTCCCCTTCTGCCCACTTTCATCTTTTGAAACATGTTTGGTGCCATTACTAGTCTGCTAAGTTCTGTGTAATACATATGAGGATTATTTTTAAGAGTTTCTCCTTTTCTTAAGCCTTTTTGTTTCTTTTTAGATTCTATGACTAAGGTTGGAAATCCATTGGTTCCAAAGTGAAAACTCAGCTGCTTTTGGCAGCTAAAACATGGACTTTCTCACAAATTAAAGAGAATTGTACCATATTACACTTTAATTAGTGTCTATCTACACAAATTCTGATTCAGATCACCAAAAGGCAACATGAATGTATCTCTCTCCAATTCGATCGTTTTCCCCACTTTTCCACCATCAGATAGTTTGTTGTATGCGCTGGATTTATGCACAAAGTACTTAAATTGCCCTTCAGGTCCCTTTCGAGTCAGTGATCTGTTTCTTGCTCAAGATCATATCAAAATTTGTGTTTGTTCATTTGCTCACGGCAAGGGGCTTGCAGATTCTACTGATATCAGCTCACAGGTAAAAACTTTTATGAATTATGATCAACATACATGTTTCAATTTTGATGAGCAAGAAAGCTTATAATCTTCAGATGGGTTGAAGGCATGACATAAGTGGATACATAATGAGTTGAAGGCGTACTAGTATTTCACAAGCAGTTAATTATGGCTTTGGCCAAAGCCTGCTTAACACATAATAGCTTTCCATCTATTTGTACTACATAAAAAGTAAAACTACAAGATCAACAAACTAAAGACTTAAGGGGAAGAGAAAATGTCCTCCTGGTGCAGCCATGTCTGGTCCACTGAGGCCATAGAAGCAGCTTCCTGTGAGCTGCCCATCAGAGATTGAAAAGCACTTTTGACCTTGCTCAAGTTCTTGTGGTGACGAATGCGTCGAAGAACAACATCTCTGTCCATGGCAGCTGCAGCAGATGATTTCAAGTAGACATGTCTGGTGATGGAAGAACTCTGTGCTTCTGAGAGTTCTTCACGCCCATCTTTCTTCTCAGCTTCTGAGAAAGATGGTTGCTTTTGTTGTGGTGGAGCTTTGGAAATGATGAAAGCCATTTTTCTTTTTCTGGTGAGGAAATAATAGTAAGTTTGTGAAAGATGTAGGGTTGGGATTATATAATATAGGAGGGTGAGGCAATGTGAGTGCCTTATGGCGTATGGGGCTTGATTTTATAGGAGATTGGTATCGGTGGTTTGGTGGTTTTATTTAATTCATGTTTGTTTTGTTCCTCAGCTTGTAAGTGGTTTGTTTGGTTTCAAGGTTCTCCATGGCCTGTAGTTTTCCTGATCCAATGCAAACCATGGACAATTGTGATTAGCCGACTAAAAGGTGATTTGCAAATATAATATATTTAAACCGTATAGCCGTCCGGCTATACTGTGATATTTTTTTAAAATTAATAGTATAGCCGCTCGGCTATACTGGTAAAAAAACAAAAACAAAGACCGCCTATGCGCTAGGCGGGTCCTAAAAAAAAAACGTATAGCCGCGCGGCCATACTGGTATTTTTTTTAAATAAATTAATAAAAAATAAAAATAAAGGCCGCCTAGGCGCTAGACGGGTCCCTATTTTTAAAAACTAAATAGTATATCCGTATACTTTGCAAATATATTATATTTAAAGCGTATAGCCGCCTGGCTATACTGTGTTTTTAAAATTAATAGTATAGCTGCCCGGCTATATTCGTAAAAAAAAATAAACACCGCCAGGGGCTAGGTGTGTTCTTTTCCTTTTTTTTTTTTTTTTCATAAATAGTGTCGCCGCGGCTATATTCTTTAAATATAGAGTGGGATCCCTTTTTTAAAAATAATTTTTTCCCCAATTTTCGTTTATCGATAAGAGTAGTTTATAACATTATCCATTACTATTAGGCCATTACCCGAGTCTCTATTGTCCCCTTTTGATTTTTAACTTTTCCAGAGTTATTACCCATATAAAAAGTTTAGCATTTTCACGTTTAATACTCGTATTATATATGTATGCATGTATTTTTTTTTATAATAGTTCCGTTTTCCGTACAAGTCTTAAAGACTCGGTAAAAAACACGTTTTTTTTAAAAAACAAACATACAATACACGTACGTGCGTATTTTTCATGTTTAATACATGTGTTTTTTTTACAAAATTTTCAATAATACACACAAAATTCATGTATTATACACATCATTTTCATATATTATTATATAGTGACCGAACTTTTCAGTTGTAATTTGCCAAAATTTTACTAAATAAACATGTACATATTTTATTTGTGTTTTTCCCGTTTCGTATTTTACTAACTATGAAAGAATTTGAGAGGCTAAGATTATTTTTTACTTGTTGTAAGAAAAATGCAAGATGGTGATTTTGCAATCTCTTTGCCAACCAAAACAACAATTTCAAACAAAGATTTATGGGTATAGTAGTAAGAGAAGTGGTAGTATTTTTCATGTAAAATGTTGTTTGAAAAGTGAACCATAAGCAAAAAGCATGCCGTGTCCTAAAATCCTACGTGCCATATCAAATACAAAATGCTTCTCTACAT